AGAAAAACGAAAAGCCACCACCAAGTGGTACCATCCCGAAAGTCAAACCAACTTATGTCGCATCAACTATTGCTACAAGGAGCAAAGGACCACAGGATTTAAAGAAAATCGTGAAAACCGCCCCAAAAATGGAAACTATAAAGGAACAGAAGATTGGAAAAAAACCAGGTGTAAGCCCAAAGCAAACTGTAAGTTCAACAAAAAGTTTTTCTCAGAACTGCTACGACGAAAATCATAAAGGACCGTTCGTGGTCTGTATAGACAAGCTAAGCATTACTGCAGAAAGGAAAGCCATTAATCAATTCCAATTGTCGGCTTCTTTGGAAAAGTTAAAAATTGGCGGGATTGAGGAAGTCGCCAGAATCGGTTATGGGAGGTGCAAGATCACGTGTGGTTCGGCCGTTTCAGCGAACAATCTAGCAAGCTGTAATGAGTTAGAAGGAGAGGGTTATATTCCGAAGATTTTTAAGCATTTCACAAGCAGGACAGGCATAATATTTAATATTCCATCCAATCTAAAAAATGAAGAGCTCTTAGAGGATAAAAACAACAAGAATAAACTTGTTCCCACAGGCAGGGTCAAAATAACTTTTGATGGGCAGCAACTACCAAAGGAGATCAAATTCTTGTACTCAAAGGTGGAGGTTCAGCCGTATTTGTATTTCGTGCAGTGTTTCAGGTGTTTCCGATTTGGACATACTGCAAAGCATTGCAAGGGACAGAAGAAATGTTTCAAGTGCGGTTCTGTGCACAAAGAAGAAGCATGCACAAAAGTTTAGTGCGCTAATTGCAAGGAAAGCCACGTGGCTAGATCGCCATCTTGTTCAGCCAGAAAGAAAGCGTATGCCATTCAGAAAACTAGGACTTTAGAAAACCTAACTATACAAGAGACGCGTAAGAAATACCCTCCCTATTTCGCAGAGGAGCGCCTGCAATGGAAGATCAGTTATCTTTCCCAACGCCATCATGGCAAATTAATCAGGCAAACAGTACTCTTAATTCATCAGCAGAATCAGCCAAGGGTATTCATTCTATAAACTCATTTGCCAGTACAACCAAAGGGAACGGGATGAACAATCTGAGTTCCATTTCTCAGACTTGTTCCAATGTAGCTCAGGACAAACTAAATGCGTTATGCAAGAAAATCACGGAGTTTATGGTAACACAGGAAATGAAGTAGGTAAAAACACAATAGTTATAAAATTTCTAACTGAGATCAGAGACTTCGTGAACAAAAGCAACGCGGATTTGGATGCACTTCAGATTGCCAGCTCTTTTGAATCTCACCATCAAACCGTAATACCATAATGAAAATTCTTCAAATCAATATTCAAAGCCTGAACAAACTTAACAACAAGCACTTAATATGTATCAAATAAATAACAACGTTGACATAGCTGTACTCTCAGAAATCTGGGTTAAGGATAATACCGATTGTAGTATCCCAGATTTCAAATTTCATTGCAAACCAAGAGATGACGGCTATGGCGGCGTTGGGATTTATATCCGCAACAACATCAAGTTTAGAATTCTAAAATCATTTGATCTAATAGAAAACATTGGCGTTCAAACTCTTAACCTTAAGAGGAATGTTAATATTTTTAGCTTTAGCTTTTTAAGCTTTTTTAGCTTTTTTTTTAACTACGCTTCTACATTGGCCAACCCCACCATTATTGGTGGTGACTTCAATGCGAAGTCAACAACATGGGGCAGCCTGACCAGTGATGCCAAGGGTCACACACTGGAAAGAGTTTCCCTTGATGCTGGTTTTGTTTGCCTAAATGATGGTTCGCCAACCTTTTCGCTCAGTCCTGTTCAGTTCTCGGTACTAGATCTCACCTTTTGCAACAGAAGGGACTTAAATATCTCATGGAGTTCCTCCAAAGTTAAAATTACCAACAGCAATCATTTCCCGATCGAAATTGTTATTAACAATGTCAGTACTGAAGTAAATACTTTTAAAATTCTCCACGACAAAGTGGCAATTGATTTCGAAATCACCAAATTTACCAGCATAGAAGCTATAACCAAGTCATTAGAAGCGTCAATCAAGTTAAACACTGTGAAAATAACAGGAAAAAATAACTACGAACCCAAAAAATGGTGGTGCAAGGAAGCTGAAAAACTTTTTCGTCTAAGAAATGCTGCTAGGCAGAAATTCTACCAGGGGACTAGATAAGTTATCGTATCGAATGATACAAATGCTCTCTCCTGGAAAGAAATCCGAATTATTTCATCTTATTAACAATGTATGGCTGTCAGGCCAGATACCAGAAAGCTGGAGGGAGATAAACGTGGTACCAATTCCAAAAAGAAACGCAGACTCATCAGTTATAAATAACTATAGGCCAATTTGATTGCTAAGCGTACTTTTTAAGATAACAGAGGGCCTTATTAAACTCAAGAGGAGTCTGCCAAGGTAGTTCCCTTAGCCCCACTTTGTTTAATCTATACACTGCAAATCTTCACAGTTTGAATGACGAAAACTGCGAATTGTTTCAATACGCAGATGACTTCTTTCTAGTTTGCTTCGATGCTACCTTTTCAGGAGCAAGGGATATACTTTTAGAAAAAATAACGGAGTTTGAAACAGAGTGTGGTGAGCTAAATTTATCCTTTAATCCATCTAAGTCCAGCGTTATTCACTTTAATCTGCGCAAACATTCGCTTCAAGTTTTTTATAAGGGAATCCCTATTAAAGATGTAGTGCAAATCAAATATCTAGGACGAATAGTAGCCGCCAATAATTCTCCATGCGCACACATTGAACACGCAATATCATCTGCAAACAAAACATGTGCATTTTTAAAATTACTTAGTGGATGCACTTTCGGGGTAAATCCCAGGAAAGGTCTTCTGCTATACAAAGCGTTTGCCAGAAGTAGGATAGAATATGCATGTTCCTCATTTAGCAAAATGTCCAAAACAGATATGGATAAAATAAAAGTACAAACTAATTTCAGTCTTAGACGCGTACTCGGCTTAATAAAGTGTACACCGGTACCAATAGTATATCACATGGCAGCGGAGCTTCCGCCCGAGTACAGAATTTGTTTTCAAACGGCAAAAGAATTGGTAAAAGTTTTTGCCCATGAGTTGCCAGCCAAAGATACACTTGTATCCAATAGTGAAATTAATACTAGTTATGCCAAACTATATAAAGACTTTAAACATATCCTAGATCAAGTCAAAATATGTGATCCATTACCTGTACATAATAGTAAAATAAGGGTAGACCTAGATTTCTTTAAGGGAACAGCCAAATACAAATGTGATATGAATACAACTAGTATTTTACAAATATTTAAGGAAAAAATGGGATCTCTTAGGAATAGGAACTTTGACATCATTTTCACAGACGGGTCAGTAACAGATAGGTATTCAAGCGCAGCGTTTCTAGTAAATAGCTCGAATTTTACAGCCAGTTACTATACGAACAAGATTTTGTCGTCGCTATCGGTCGAACTGCTAGCGATTGACAAGGCCCTCGACCATGTCGTTTCGGTGGGCATAACTCGCGTAGCCTTCTTGACGGATAGCAGAAACAGCGCAATTGCAATTCTTAAGTCCAGTCACGACAACTACATAAGCTGCAACATAAGAAAGAAAATTGCCAATCATCCTCAACTAGTGGCGGTTGAAATCCATTACATACCCAGCCACTCTGGCATACCCCAAAACGATTTCGTGGACTTGGCTGCCAAAAACGCTCCTTCACACGGTATCTTCACTGTAGTGGGATGGAGCATAAAAGATGCCACAGCTGAAATACACAGATTAATACAGGAGGACTGGGACAAGGAGTATGCCGAATTCGCTAGTGGTAAACAGCGGGGTTACTGCGAACTCTTTCCAACAACGCTAAACAAACCTTGGTTTAACAACTTGAACTGCAACCTCAGTCCTTCGGGTATAAAAATCATAAACAGATTAATGAGCGGTAACGCTTTTGACAATTATACTTTAAACAAAATGCACGTAGTAAACAATAACAGATGTAACAGTTGCAACGAATTCGATAACGCATCGCACATCATATTCAGCTGTTCCAAATACAACTCTGCAAGACAAAATTACCCAACACTGAAAAAATACCACGACATTTACCATTTGTTTAAACACGAACCAACAAACTCATAGCAAATTATAATTGAATATCTGGAAAAAATTAAGATTAGCATCTGAATAACCAACCAGTAACCAAATCAAGAGCTTGGCGATTTCCACGTTCGCGAGGGCGGCCAAATAACTCCACGGCACTTACGGGTGTTGCGGCAACTTAAACCACAAAAAAAAAATAATTCGTAGGAGAACAGTCAGGAAAAGATAAATTCATAATTAGTGTTTAGATAATTTGAAGTGAGTGGTTATATATTTGCAATAAACTTATAAATAATAGTGATTTTTTTTTTTAAATATTAAAGCCACCGGGGACCCTATCTAAAGGGCCCCGGAAATTTAAAAGATTCGGGAAGTGAACACTTACCAGGCGGACCTAACCTGGTCGTCGTCCACCAAGTGACGTGAGACGTCCGTTGAGTCGGAATCGATTGTTCGGACTGCAGGGCATAGGGGGCACTCCGCCCTGGGACTCCGTGGCTAGCCGGCGCTGCCCTCCGGGAAAGATACAGTTCCGTAACAATATGGCGCCCAATTTAACAAATAAAATATGTGATAGCCGAGTCGACGGCGTCTCGCATATTTATATCTCCAGCCAGCCCACGAACGGTGGCTGGCATGACACATATGCAATTGCACCGTGGATGCGGACTGGTGGAGAAAAGTTGTTTAAATTTTGTAGGAAGAAAGGGAGGCGTGTCCACTAGAGGTAGGACAATTGCTCCCGAGGCACAGTTCACAAGGATTAGCTGTGATTTGGCGGTGACATCATCTTCGAAGGAAATCGAAGGATTCGCATCCCAGGTCGTCCGTGCAATAATCACGAAAGGTTAAACCATAAACTGTGATAAAACTGTGGTATAGGTATTAGGGACATGTTTTTTTTGTTAACGTAATTTTAATGAATGTTTTGTTTTGGGGTTACAGTGTAGTTGTTTGTTTTGTGCAGATCCTTGGGTTTTCTTGGGATTTGCGTTTTCATATCATATCGGTTTAAAACTTAAATGTGTGGTCGTGACCCGTGACGTCGTCACGCGCTGCTCGGCCACCGCGACTTGAATGAAAAACGTAAAGTCTAAAAGAAATTCCTATGCGATCCTGCAAACAGCCGAAGTCCTTAACTGGCGAATTTTCACACAGCGATGTGTGCCCGACACCGTGTGCGGAAAACGGTCGGCTGGGCGATCCAAGGGCGGAGAGGATGCGTCCAGACAGGAGTTCCGCAGAGAAGAAGAGCTGGTAGGGTTAGGTAAATGTTTACCTTCTAAGAATAGCAATAAGTTTGCATTACGATACTTACCTTATGCGGCGGTACCTAGAGTCGAGGAACAGAATCTTCTCAGAGCACCAGTTAGGCGGGATGCGTATGGTGTCTCGCAAGGTGCAGAAGGCCAGGGACCGATTTCGCAAACGTCGGAACTGCCGACGCGAAGCAGTGGCCGCCGTGAAGCGGTGTTTATCGCGAGATCCCAGACCGTTCGCCGCAGTCCGAGTCCTGACCAAGCAACTGACGGGGTTGTTGGACACTGGAGCGAGTGTTAGTCTGCTTGGTAAAGGTGGCAGAGAGCTGGTCGAGGCCTTGGATGTGCCCGTACAAAAGTACTTATCCGCAGTCCGTACGGCCTCTGGAGAGGATCGGTCAATTATAGGACGGGTCAAGTTACCGGTGGAATACCGAGGACGGACAGAGCATATTCTCTTCTACTTGTGTCCTTACCTGGAGCAGCCAGCTTTTTTTGGAGTGGATTTTTGGCAAGCATTCAGACTGGCCCCAGCGATTATAGGCCACATCGACCCGGAAGGCGTGAGGAAGGCCGAAGAATTACACACCAGGGAGATGGAGCACTACGCTGAGGTCGAGGATGACGATGAGGAGAAAACCGATCCCGAGTCCTGGACGCTTTCCAAGGCCGAGGAACAAGAGCTGGAGGAGATCAAGCAGCAGTTCTTGACTTTCGAGAGGGATGGCTTAGGTACCACCAGTCTGGAGAAGCACACTATTAAGCAGATGGACGGAGCCAAAGTGTTCAAGGATCGACCCTATCCGATGTCTCCCGCGAAGCAGAAGGTGGTTGAGGACGAGGTCGACAAGATGCTAGCGCTCGGAGTCATCGAGGAGAGCAAAAGCCCCTGGAGCAACCGCACCACCGTAGTATCAAGATCTGGAAAGCACCGGCTCTGCTTAGACGCACGTAAGCTTAATGATGTGACCATCAAAGATGCTTACCCGTTGCCCAACATAGAGGGCATCCTGTCCAGAATCGACCAAACGTACTACATTTCCAGCGTGGATTTGAAGTTCGCTTTTTGGCAGATTGAGTTGGACACGAGCAGCAAGGAATACACAGCCCTTACGGTTCCTGGTCGGCCTCTTTACCAGTTCCGTGTGATGCCTTTCGGACTCTGTAACGCATCACAGAGGCTGGTGAGACTCATGGACCGAGTAATTCCAGCTGAAATTCGCTCGAATGTGTTCGTCTACTTGGATGACCTTCTAATACTAGCGCCTGACATGAGAACACACTTGAAGTATCTTCGCCGAGTCGCTGAATGCCTGAAAGAAGCAGGGTTAACCATTGGTCTGAGCAAGTCGAAGTTTTGCTTCAAGTCTTTGACCTACCTCGGCTTCATAGGGGGTGGAGGACGTCTGCGGATGGATCCAGGGCGTGTAGCAGCTATTAGGCGGATGCCTGAGCCAAGGACCATGAAGGAAGTGAGAGCCTTTCTTGGAACCGCGGGTTGGTACCGTCGGTTCGGAATCTCCGTATCTGCACGTCTCGGAGGCAGTCGCTGTAGCTGCTGACACTGGAGGCTGCTGCTGCTGCTGATCGCTGCTGCGGCTGATGCTGTTGCGGCTGATGCTGCTGCGGCTGATGCTGCGGCGCTGATGCTGCTGCGGCTGATGCCACTAATCGCTGCCGCTGTTGGAGCCGATCGCTGCTGCTGGTGATGCTGCTGCGGCTAATGCTGCTGCGGCTAATGCTGCTGCGGCTAATGCTGCTGCGGCTAATGCTGCTGCGGCTAATGCTGCTGCGGCTAATGCTGCTGCGGCTAATGCTGCTCCGGCTGGTGGACGACGACCAGGTTAGGTCCGCCTGGTAAGTGTTCACTTCCCGAATCTTTTAAATTTACGGGGCCCTTTAGATAGGGTCCCCGGTGGCTTTAATATTTAAAAAAAAATCACTGTTATTTATAAGTTTATTGCAAATATATAACCACTCACTTCAAATTATCTAAACACTAATTATGAATTTATCTTTTCCTGACTGTTCTCCTACGACTTATTGCAGCAACTAAAGCCAACTCCCGCTATCAATAGTCGGTGTCACCACCGAATCTTATCGATAGCGGGACCTGCTGACGTATCGGTTCGTTTTAGTATTTTCCAGACGGCTTCAACTGAAAATGCAACACCACCATGTATTCCGAGAGACGCTAGCACAGAGTTTTAGACAAGCGCAGGAATACTTGGGAGCATTTGGATTTGGACTATCCAGATTCAGCCAGCCTCGATACCAAGATGCAGTTCCAACGGTGTCCAACGCAGGGCCCACGCTTTACGGGAAGTAGACACATGTCGATTCTGAACTCGTGTACTTTGTTATTCCTCTTTCCAGTTCACAACCTAATGTCCTTGACATGGTACACTCCGATCGGTCGTCATTGAAGGTCTTCAAGCTCGTACGCATTATTGCCGACTGTCTTGACCACCCGAGCTTTCAGGAACTTCCGAGCAAACTTAGCCTTTTTGAAATCGCTGGGGGCAAAGTTGCGGCGATACACTTCCTGACCTGGTTTCGCAAGGAAAGTACGAGCTCTTTTGTCGTACCGCAGGCGACTCCGATCGTATGCATATTCGAGGTTCTTCTGCACCTTGTCATGGATCAGTTGGAGTTTATCAGCTGTTCTCATCCCAGAAATTTCGTGATCACACAGCGACTTCAACTTCCTTGCCAACTTGTAGCTGGCTCCGTTCAGAAACATGTGTCGTCCGAATACGGTGAAGAACGGAGCTTCTCCAGTTGCTGAATGGACCGCGTTGCGGATGGCCACCTCAATCTCCGGAAGATACGCGTCCCATTCTCGATGATCTTAGAAGATAAGTAGATTCGGATCGCCGCCAACACGCTTTGGTTCGCCCTTTCCGCTGCGTTGCTTTGCGGAGAGTGGACTGGCGTTTTGATGTGCGTGATGCCAAAGCTTTAAATCGCCTCCTCGAAGATCTTGGACGTAAACTGGCGGCCGTTGTCCGAATGCACAATTTCTGGAACCCCAAACTTGTAGAAAACCTCGTGAATGAGGAACTCCACTACATTTGAAGCCGATGCAGTGTATTTGGAAAAATGATCCACCACAATGAAGATGTAGGCCTGTCCCTTCTTCGACCTCGGATATTTCCCCAGGAAATCGATATACAGCTTCTGAAATGGCTGCTCAGTCTGGACTCTCTCACCGATACCAACTTGCATTCGAAAATTCGGGGATTTCGTCTCCTTACAGACTTCAGACTTCTCCTTCAGACTAAGTCGTAGGAGAACAGTCAGGAAAAGATAAATTCATAATTAGTGTTTAGATAATTTGAAGTGAGTGGTTATATATTTGCAATAAACTTATAAATAACAGTGATTTTTTTTTAAATATTAAAGCCACCGGGGACCCTATCTAAGGGGCCCCGGAAATTTAAAAGATTCGGGTAGTGAACACTTACCAGGCGGACCTAACCTGGTCGTCGTCCACCAGCCGCAGCAGCATTAGCCCCAGCAGCATTAGCCGCAGCAGCATTAGCCGCAGCAGCATTAGCCGCAGCAGCATTAGCCGCAGCAGCATTAGCCGCAGCAGCATTAGCCGCAGCAGCATCACCAGCAGCAGCGATCGGCTCCAACAGCGGCAGCGATTAGTGGCATCAGCCGCAGCAGCATCAGCGCCGCAGCATCAGCCGCAGCAGCATCAGCCGCAGCAGCAGCAGCGATCAGCAGCAGCAGCAGCCTCCAGCGTCAGCAGCTACAACGACTGCCTCCGAGACGTGCAGATACGGAGATTCCCTCGGTGAGTCCGTTCCGGGAACGAATGCCCGCGCTGGCCACGTGGTCATCTCTAAGTCCACCGACGCACTGCCTCCGGCCCCTCTTACGCAGACGCTAGCGATTTTTCTATTCTGGCTGCTGTTTCACCACATCCGACGTTGAACTCTGCAATAAATAAGTTTTAGTTATTGTTTTTGTAATATCATACAGTCCAGATTGTCAAGTACTCACTGTGAAATCTAATCTAAAATTAGAGGCTTAATTCCGAGCCCTAGCCGCGCGTCCAACTACGTCTAAATTGGGTCACGAAGTTTAATGATTTGTGGGATTTATTTAGCGTACTTACCTTTTCAGCACGTCCCTTCTTTTCCCTTGGAGCTCCTCAGGATTAGGCGGCCCGGTTGGCAAACGCCTCCAATTTAGTGCCGTGCGGAGATTTCGCCTGACACTTGTAATATTAAGCGTCTAAAAGTTTCCCTTCGGTTGTTGCCGCTTTGACCGCTTTTCATCTGGGCGACGGTCTGAGATAGGCCTTAAATGTTTCTAACAAAAAGAGTAGATTATTAGAAGGAATCAATAATGAATGCATTTATTTATTAATCTTACCAAAAATTAAATGTGAACAAGCTACCGAGATGGTTGTGTGAATTACCTTGGGCGGGGACATGAGCCGATCCTAATCCACCAGGAATAGACTCCGGTCTGCCGGAGATAGGGTGTGCCTCCCACATCTTTCTTGGGGCACCCAAGGTTGGGTGGGTGCGTTGTGGCAAGGACATCGAAGCCACCAATTTCGTCCAATTGTCTTAGTTTTTTGATGTAAATATAACTTTGTTTTGTTTTGATTTGTGGTAGAGATGGTAAATCGTCAAGTTAGTGACGTGAGACGTCCGATGAGTCGAAATCGATTGTTCGGACTGCAGGGCATAGGGGGTACTCCGCCCTGTGACTCCGTGGCTAGCCGGCGCTGCCCTCCGGAAAAGATGCAGTTCCGTAACACAGCATTAGAGCGACGTTTGTAGTCGTGAATATTCTGCAGCATTTTGCTGACGTGTGCGCTTCTCGAAACCAATTAATTCGATACCTACCGCTAAACCAATATACAGTGGCTCGCAGCTTATTTTGTGCAGCTGTATTACAAAACTTTAAATCGGTATTGCGGCTAAACCAATATATATAAAACAAAAATGTAAACGCAATATTTTAACTAGAAACAGTAGCATATTTAAAAAACTAAAAACGATCTCCTTAATCTTAAAAACAAGAACAAAATATGACAAAAACAATATGTACAGGCTTTTTTCATGCCGCAGCTTACTTCGTGCAGTTGATTTGGATAAACTTATTATTCTTGAAAAAAATTAGAATATTTTGTGTGCTATTCTTTCTACTTCTGGACAGCTTTCAGACGATTTTCCATTGACGCGTCTAATTTTTTGGTCGTTTCTACTGCTATTTTTTGCCATTCTTCTATTAGAGCATTCTTCAAATCGTTTTTATTCGAAATTTGTCGTTTTCCAATTGCCATGTCCAATATTTCCCATAAATTTTCGAAGACATTCAAGTCTGGATACTGTGCTAGTGTTATGACGACATGAGGGCAGTTCCAGACGAGCCAGGACTTCACAATGCCTTCTAAATGCTTTGGATCGTTGTCTTGGTAGAATCGAAAACGATCGCGTATGCCGAATTTTTCAGCACTTTGAATCAGATTTTATTTTTAAAGTTCGATATATATTCTGCCATCATGATCCCGTCAAAAAAAATCAGGTTGCCCACGCTAGAGGCTGCCATAAGGACCAAAACATAACATGACCCCCACTTTGCTTGACTGTAGCTTTTAGTTGTTTGTTTTCGAGCTCCGTATTAGGTCGCCGCCAAACATATTGTCTTCCATCTGAACCAAAAAGGTTAAATTTTAACTAGCCTGCAAATAATAAGTCATTCCAAATCGAAATCGAACAAAGTATATGGTCAATTGTAAATTTAAGGCGAGCAGCAATATTTTTGTTGCTGATAAATGGATCTTTCCGTGCAACTTGGCCATTTAAGTTGTGATCATGCAACACACGGCGCACTGCATCAGCACAACACTTTTGGCCCACATCTTCCTCGACCTGATCAGCACAACATTTTTGGCCCACATCTTCCTCGACCTGATCAACGATTTTTGGAGCCGATAGCTTTGGGTTTTCCTTAATTTTGCGAACAATACGACCGTCTTCATGTTCGGTGAAAATTTTATTTGGAGTATTTCGGCATTTATCTTCAATCCTGTTTTCTAGAAGTTACTTGAATTACGATCCTGGGTATTTCTATCCAAATTGTAAGCTTGATTAGCTTGATAAATATTTTGATTAGTTGATGAATAATACGCATTGTTTGTCATTGTAATACCTTTGATTGTTACTCTGATTTTTGTTTCCTTTGTTCTTGCGATTATGATAATGAGATTTATTAAATAAACGTCTTCAGGATTCTAGTTCCTAGTTCCTGTGGGGTGTCTTCCAATTGTTTTACAAGCGTTACGTAGGGCCTGTGATCCTTAAACGATGTTGATAAGGCATCTCGGATTTCCAACCAGGTCGTCGCTCCTGTCTGAATAACAGCTTCCAGTGCAGTGTCGACAATCACTCGCTTGATAGCGCCATAAATGATATGGGTCTGACGGGCATCGTAGTAATGTAGCTCTTTGATTTGAGCAAACAGCTGATTGAGATGAAGCTCGGAGAGTTGCGCCACTCCTACCATTTTTGATGTTTGTAAGTTTAAATGTTTCAGAAATAAAAATGTATTTTTTTTTAGTTCTTCGACATATAGTAATGGTTAAATATTTCAGAACTACGGTTTAAATTTCATCAAAATCGGACGACTATATCATATAGCTCCCATAGGAGCAATCGGAAAAAAAATACAAAAAAAATATATCTTCGCTGTTTTTTAATTTTTTTTTAATTCTTCGACATATAGTATTGGTTACGGTTTCAATTTCATCAAAATCGGACGACTTTATCATACTCCCATAGGAGGAATCGGAAAAAATATATATCTTTGCTGTTTTTTTAATATTTATGTTATGTGCATACGTGGATTTAATTGTTGCAGTCGCCAACTGTGGGAATAAGCTGGCGCGACTTATCACTCGCTGATGGCGTGTGTGGTCAATTTACGTTTGCACTTGAAGAGTGCTGATCCTACAGATTTGGATAACATTGTTGCCGATGGTACAGTGTGTACTCTGTTTGCATGCACACAGTGGAGTAAATTATGATATCATCCAAGTATACTAAACAATCCTTGTAGATTAAATCTTCCAACAAATTGTTCATGCACCTCTGGAAAGTTGCCGGTGCATTTTCGTAACGCCCATATTTGGTTGAAAACGCTTTTTTAGCAACAGAGTTTTTCTCCATCTGTATTTGGTTAAAAACCCTTAGCTAGATCAATTGTGGTGAAATACTTACATATCCCTAATTTATCAAGTATTTCGTCCTTTCTAGGAATCAGAAACTTGTCATTGACTTTTATTTTATTAAGATTCCTGTAGTCGACTACTAGTCTGAACTTTGGTTTACCTGAGGCGTATGCCTTCTTGGGGACCACCCAAATAGGTGAACAAATATGTGTATTGTGAACAATAGGGGGACATAGACTTTCGAATGATGCTCTGCTCTATCATTTCCTTAATTTGTTTGTCAACTCTGGGTTTATTTGTATGGTTTACGGTAAATCGGATCTTCATCCTGGGTTAGGATAGTATGCTAGTAAAAGTCAAATTCTCACCTTCCTTGCACTGAATGTCTCTATACTCGTATAGGACCTTCTTCAAATATTTCACCTCCTCAACATTGAGATGTTCGAGTCTGAACTCGTTACATTCGCGTAATTCGTTATCGATCGCGAAGTTTATTGTTTCATCAGCAATAGATGTAGGACCGGATTGCATTGAATGTTCGTCCTCTGTATCTTTGCTGGTTTTAGGAGTAAGGCACTTTGAAGGTGCGGTCTTCTCCGTTTTTTGGTTTGTTTTGGTAATCACCTTCCTTGATTTTTGATTGTGGCACTTTGCTGGTGCGGTCTCATCCTTTTCCCTTGTGTTGAGGCATCTTGCTGATGCGGTTTCGCCCTTTTTCTCCTCGTATCTGAATTTATAGGTCTTTGAACCTAAAGTTACAGTTTCCTTCTCATAGTCAATCTTTGCTGAGCTATCTTCTAAGTATTGACGACCTAACAGGAAATCATAATTGTGAGAAAATTGATGCACGTAAAATTTTTGTTCGGACGGAGATGTACCAGTGGGCTTAATTATTATGCTCTTGTTTAATTTTATTAGGCCCTTTATTGTGTAAACCGTGGGATTTTCTTCTATTTCTTTTAAATTTGCAAAATTTCCCCAATGATATTGATGGACGACCCTGTGTCGATCATACCTTTGTAAAGATTGTTCTGATATGTAATATTCACATATGGACTGACTCTTCCTCTTCTCCCGTGTCCGAGGTTTCCGAAACAATTTGATCAAAATTTACGCCTTCCTAGTTCCTGTGGGGTGTCTTCCAATTGTTTTACAAGCGTTACGTAGGGCCTGTGATCCTTAAACGATGTTTATAAGGCATCTCGGATTTCCAACCAGGTCGTCGCTCCTGCCTGAATAACAGCTTCCAGTGCAGTGTCGACAATCACTCGCTTGATAGCGCCATAAATGATATGGGCTTGACGGGCATCGTAGTAATGTAGCTCTTTGATTTGAGCAAACAACTGATTGAGATGAAGCTCGGAGAGTTGCGCCACTCCTACCATTTTTGATGTTTGTAAGTTTAAATGTTTCAGAAATAAAAATTCGACTTTGAACTTTGTTTCCAACCGCACGGGATTTTTTCGGTTTTGAATACTACACGCACGTAGACTATTTTGCGGGTCAAACTTTGAATCACTGTTTTAATTCGCCGGTCTGGATGGCTTGTTGTATAGCGTATCCTTAAGTACGACTTAAGTACGTACCGTACTAAGAGGACTCTTTTTAAATTTTGATCCTACCGGCTGCGCCAATTAAATACTCGAATAATTCGTTAGTTTAAAAAAATGTATTTTATTTTATTTAACCGAATTAATACAAGATTATTTATAATGAAGAATACCGACCAATTCGTTGTAGGTCTCAAACTGAACTTAAATAAATTAATGAACTGCATGGGCTGACACTCAAGCCTCGGTCTCGAGCTTTTGGGTGAATCTCGAAGATTCTGAGAGAGGGCTTTATTATGGTTCGTGATGGATTTTATTGATGCTTTGATTGCTCTGGAAGTTATTTGCTAATTTTGTTTTCGAGCTATCGAGTCCGAACTTCGAGCGTGTGAAAAATGGGGCAAAATGTTTAGGCAATAACAGTTGTTTAGTCTACTGCTGGGGACTTGTGTTTACTCGAATGCTGGGGACTTATGTGAAGTTGTTGTGTCCTATGACTGTATGCTTATCATCCGATAATGATTCATAGTTGTAGGGTAGCATGGGGTGTATGTGCTATGTGTTTGTACAATTGTAGGGTAGTATAAGGTATGTTTAATTATAAGTAGGTATGTGCTTGGACTGTGGGTATTATAATTTCAGTCAGAAGTTTGCAACGCAGTGAAGGAGACATCTCCGACCCTATAAAGTATATATATTCTTGATCAACATCACTAGGCGAGTCGATCTAGCCATGTCCGTCTGCCCGTCCGTCTGTCCGTCCGTCCGTTTCTACGCAAACTATTCTCTCAGTTTTAAAGCTATCTTCATGAAATTTTCCCAAAAGTTGTCTTCCTATTGCAGGTACAATAGTATATATATCGGACGACTATAGCATATAGCTCCCATAGGAGTAATCGAAAAAAAAATAAATAAAAAAATTATAACTTTGCTGTTTTTTAATTTTTTTTAGTTCACCGACATATAGTTATGGTTAAATATTTCAGAAATACGGTTTAAATTTCATCAAAATCGGACGACTATATCATATAGCTCCCATAGGAGCAACCGAAAAAAAATTTTAAAAAATATATATCTTTGCTGTTTTTTAATTTTTTTTTATCTCTTCGACATATAGTATTGGTTAGATATTTCAGAATTACGGTTTCAATTTCATCAAAATCGGACGACTTTATCATATAGCTCCCATAGGAGCAACCGGAAAAAAAATATATAAAAAGCAAGAAAGAAAGCAAACTTCGGCAAGCCGAAGTTCATATACCCTTGCAGCTATTGCAAGAATTAAACATTTTTGAAAACATTAAAATTATGATTTACTTTCGTATATATAATTGAAAACATTGAAGCTATGATGATTTGCAGCTCAATTATTTGATAGTTATTTTATATATTTTTATTATTTCTATGGGAGCTATATGATATAGAAGTCCGATTTTGATAAAATTTAAACCATAATTCTGAATTATTTAACCATTACTATATGTCGAAGAACTAAACAAAAAATTAAAAAACAGAAAAGTTATAATATTTTTTTTTTATTTTTCCGATTGTTCTTATGGGAGCTATATGATATAGTCGTCCGACTTTGATGAAATTTAAACCGCAAATCGGAAATATTTTACCATTACTTAATGTCGAAGAACTAAACAAAAAATTAAAAAACAGCAAAGTTATAATTTTTTTCATTTATTTTTCCGATTGTTCGTATGGGAGCTATATGATATAGTTGTCCGACTTTTATGAAATTTAAACCGTAAATCGGAAATTAGAGGTGGAGAACTATCGATAGTCGGCGCCATCGATAGTGAGCGATTGTTTTTTTCAAACCATCGATAGTGTCGATAGTACCATCGATAGTCACCGATAATATCGTCCGAAATTAAAATTTTTTTTTTTAAGTTTTTAAGAAAAATGGTTTATTTTAACCAAAAGTTTTGATTCAAAAATAACAGGATGTTAATGTTTTTCTCTTTGAGCCGGGTGCGTCTCTCGGAAACAATTTGCCCTGCCTTGCTAAAAGCTCCTTCCTTGCCACAGTCAAGGCATTTGGCAAGTTTTTTGTCGTCGGACCTCTTAAAATACTTCCAAACAGTTGATATTTTACTCCTTTTAGAGTTCTTTTGGCTTTCGGGGAGAACATCTTTTTCAGAGTCCGTGCTGGTGCAATCACAGTCCTGTTTGTTTGGACTTGGCGCAGTAGGTGTTGCGGACCTCCGACGTGTACCTTAAATGCAACACATTATCCATCAAAATACTTATGCAAAATACATTAAACATACCTTTTTTTAAAAAGCGTTCCATTTTTAATAGTTTTTTTTATAATTCCCGTCAATTTTAACAATTTTTCAGTTGTTTGTGTGAAGTTGTGTGTGAAATGCGCGTTAAAGTATTTTAGCGATGTGAGACGCCCGCTATCGATGGCACTATCGATAGTGGACGGGCCGCTATCGAAGGTGTCTGCTGCTATCGATAGTGGCTCGATAGCGCCCAACCATCGATAGTGTCGATAGTGCCATCGATAGTTCTCCACCTCTATCTAGAACAAACCGTTGGATGATGTATTGTACGGTACTGGGGCTGAGGGATACCAATATCGTCAAAAGAAACGTGATAGTAAAAGCCGGCCAGGGAGTACCGAGCTTGCTACAGTTGTGCTCGACTTCTGGTCAGCAGACAACTTGAAGAGGATCGGCATGGTGAGGCACCGCAAATTTTTGTGTCCACATCAATCGTTTACGTCACCGGAACACCGCACGCCACGTGCGGCTTGATCATATACATCTTGTGCTCATCAAAGACGCCCAAAAGGAGACTGAGCCAGCAAATATATCTGACTTGAAAACTTCTACAACTAACCCGCCGAACGGATACGACTCCTGACCGCAGTGCGCCACGTACTGCGTAGCGATTATCAACATAATATCGGCACATATGTGTGGCCGAAAATAAAAACCGTCTACAACTATACAACTATACATCGCGATGACACCGCTGCGCACAGAACGCCACGCGCGGCCACCATGATCTAGGATCACCCCAACCTTATGGAAGGCGTTGAGGCAGTCATCTGACTGCAGCTTCATTACCTCACCAACACGCGCCAGGCGCGGCATGTATAAATTATCACTGACGAAACCCAGGAAACCCAAGCAAATTGCCCAAGGAGGATCTTTTCTTCGAGCAGTTTTCGGACTAAGGATTGCTGGAAGATGTTGTTAATTTAAAAATGTGACGAACAGTCGAGTTTTTCTTTTCTTTTGCAAATATAGTTTAGATTCTTTTAATAACTCTTGTATTTTATGTTTTTGATCATAGACATTTATTTAGAATCCATTTATACTAGATAATTATGTTATAAACCCCAACCGTGCAAATCACACACATGTTCAGCCCACTGTAAAAACCAATTTTCCTGATAACTTTACATAATGTAGGTTGCTGCAGCATCTTCGATGGGCCCAAAGAAACTGCGTCAACGGATATGTACGTAAGTGAACGGAAACCATATATTGCATTTCTGAATTTAATATTTTTTGGGATTTGATTGTGTATCGTTTAATCGGATAGGCTTGAACGTATATAAGTAAAGCTTCTACATATAAGGTGCCAGGGGACCTTTTCGTCACGGCTGCTGTCCGACTCCAGTCAGGGTATGGACCAACTTGCCAGCTCCTGCAAGGGAGTTGCCGGGGTATCCACTGTCGAAGCCGCTCCAGTTGTGGAGCAAGGAAATGAAGATTAGGTTGGGTATCTGGGTACCAGTTACTAGCCTTATGGCTTAGCAACAATAAATAAGAATATCAGCTATAGCTGGTGTAGAAGTTTATTTCAAGCTTCTGCTTGCTTTACGTGCCAAGTACGACTAAAACTAGGTTACAAAAATAAGTATACTTAAACTATGCTATGAAGGGAGATTATGCTAAGAGAGAGAGAGAGAGAGAGAGAGAGAGAGATAAAGAAATGAGCATAAGCTACCAAGTTTAGTCGGCCAGCCGACTTAGCATACGTGATAATGCTGCTCTCGCATTGGAAGCGAGCGACAGTATATCACAGCAATTCACCTGCTAGCTCAGCGCGAGGGTAACTTGTTTACTATTCCCCCCTTAAGTTTGTCCGTCCCGGGCAATGCCAACCATTATCGGCCATCTGGATCTCCGTTGCAGTTCGTTGCCTCCTCATTCATGGGTAAAGGAGGTTTGAGCCTTTGAAGACCAGGAGCCACTGCAATAGCCACAACTGATTCTTAGATGACTCGTCAACTTTCGTCAGTATTTATATTCGACGCCTTGGAGGACCTTTTATTTCATTCGTGGGCATCCTTGCTGCGTAGCCGTAATGCCGAGTCATGTGCAATGATATTGTTAATGGAGACACTTCACAAAGACATAAATATCTCGGTGCTGATAGCTATTGCCGATCGTTTAAAGATATTGAAAGGCAGATCGTTCGCACATCTTCTCGGTCCTTCATTGGTTTTGTGTCTTGCCAGTTTTTCTTGTATCAGGACCGCTCTCTCTTCATCATTGTAATCGATGTGATATTATTTGGATACATGCAGGATTCGGTCAAACTCCGGCATACAGTCGACGAGTGGAAACGTTTTGCGATATAGCTTAGTATGCAATTAGTGGTTCGCCAGTCTCTTGCAGCACGGCGCTCTTATGTGCCACCAGCAGATTTGCACCCTTTAACGGAGAGACTAAAAAATTACTGTGAAATGTTCTGTAAATTATAACTTTAAATCGCTTTGGCTAAAAATAAGCATTTGATTCTGTGAGAGTAAGATTAGAAACCGCATTCAATTCTTGGCCAACAGCGTTTCACGTAAGAGTCATTTGCATCGAGTATGCCATTCCTCCTTTTCCCTTAAATTCTTTCACAAGCTCCATTCAGTGTTTCCGTGTTCAAGTTTACTAATTTGTCCTAACTTTCAATAGATATGCGATTATCTTAAATTGTCCTTGTGGACCAGCCTCCCCTTTATAAGAACAGACGTTCCCAGGTCTGCCTGAACTTTCTCTTCAGAAAATAAAGGTGTTAGCTTGTTGCCTAATCTCTTGTTGTTTTTTAGGAACACCTTTTCCCCTACCTCGAATATCCAGTTTTGTCGGGAAGGGTTATTTCTTTCTAGTTGAGCTTGCTGAGCGTTTATTAACCTGTTCTTGATGTTTTCTTTAAACTCTTCACTCGAAGCGTAAATTGCGTCTATAGTCTTTATTCCAGTAACCGAATGAATAGTCCTATTATATTCTACAGTCGCTTGCATAATACTCTCAATTGTATCTTCAAACTTCTTTTCCAACTTTAGGTATCTTGCGATCTCTAGTAAAGTGCTGTGGAGGCGTTCCACTTGCCCATTTGACGAACTATGCAGTGGAGGTGCGTTAACAACGTCGATACCAAACTGATTTTTTAAGAGCGACCTAATAGTTTCAGAGTTAAACGCTGGTTCATTGTCACAGTAGATTACTTTGGTTTTGGGAAAGACGTTTACAAGCTGAACAATAGGGATCTTAATATCCGTTATTGACCGAGATACTATTGGCTGAGTAATAGCAAATTTAGAAAACTTATCGATGCATGTCAAAAATAGCTTTTTATCAGTAGAAAAGACATCGATGTGGAGAATCTCACCAGCATAAGATGGTATTGGGGTTACACCTAGCTCCTGTTTTTTAGGATGTCTGTCGGATTTGGCCCTATTGCAGACATTACAGTTCACTATTACCTCTGTGACCAGCTTAGCCATTTTTGGGAAATAGTAATCGCCAAGAATTTGCTTAACATTTTCTTGTGCCGCTCTATGAGCGCGACTGTGTTCGGCTATAACTATCTCTTTTTGTTCGGGCCTGTCAGTTATATCGGTCACCATTGTCTTACAGTACCAAAATGTTGTTCCCGGAAAGGTTTTTACGAGCTCATGCTGTAAATAAGCCAAAATGTGCAGATTGCAACGAATCGCGTTTACGAGGTTTGGCTGAACCACCGTTTTTGCCTCTTGAAGTGCTTCATCATCGTGAGTGAAATATATGTGATGTCGCACCTTTTCGCGAAAGAGTACAAACGTGCGCTTCAAAGGAAACTGCGCTTTCTCCAGAAGTATTTGGTTTCTGAAGCAATTGAGCGGCTTATCTGTAGTCTCGATGGTATAGGTCTGAGACACTTCGCTATGTACAGTAGCGGCATCAGATTGAACCTCATTTTATAAGGCATTCAGGTTTTGCCGAGAGAAGGCATCAGCTACGAAATTTTCCTTTCCTGGCTTATAGAAAACTTTGGCATTATGCTCATCAATAAAAGCTTTCCATCGCTTAATTTTTGCGTTCGTGTTTCTATCTGAGACCGCAAAGGTAAGCGGTTGATGGTCGGTGAAAATGTTTATATCCTTGGTGCCGTACAAAAAATTCTGCAATTTCCCCAACGCCCACACGATTGCCAAAAGTTCTCTTTCATTAGTAGCGTAGTGTGACTCGCTTTGTTTAAGAGTTCGGGAAATCATAGTGATCGGCCTACCTCCTTGGGATAAAACAGCACCAATACCATTTGCAGAAGCGTCAGTGGTAAGGTCAAAAGGCCGTCTAAAATCGGGGTACATAAGAATTACATCCTCCGACGCTAAAATGTTTCTCAAGCGCTCGAATGCGTCACGGTGTATTTCATTAAATTCAATTTTGACGTTTTTCGAGACTTGCTTGCTAACCGTACCGTTTTCGCCTTTAAGCAAGTCTGTCAATGGTCTTGCGATTGATGCGAAATCTTTGACTAATCTTCTATAATAGCTAGCGAGGCCAAGAAAAGATCTAAGGCTAAAGAGATTTTTTGGTTCGGGGAACTCTTGTATGCACCTAACCTTTTCTGGGGCTGACTTTGTGCCTGCCCTAGTTACTATAAAGCCCAAATATACGACGCTTTCTTTAAAAAATTTTGTCTTCTCGCGTGATACTCGCATGTTAGCGTCACACAGGCATTTTAATACCGTGTCTATGTGCTTAACGTGATCGAGCTCATTCTCAGAGAAAATGATAACGTCATCCACATAGACGTAGCAGATTTTTCTATCTGGTCCCTTAAAACGTCATCTATTGCTCTCTGAAAGATGCTTCCCGCATTCTTTAAGCCGAAGGGTAGACGACAATACTCATACTTCCCGCCGTTAACTGAAAAGGATGTCTTCTCACGGTCCTGTTCCGCAAGGTAAATTTGATGGTACCCTGACCTTAAGTCTAGGGTGGTGAAAAACTTGGCCTTTCCCAGATTTGCAAGAATCATGGGGATACTTGGCATTGGGTAGCGATCAGCAATGGTTCGCTCATAAAATTTGCGAAAATCAATTACCAGCCGCTTATTCCTGTTGCCACTGTCATCAGTTCCTTTTTTGTCTACAACCCATACAGGGCTGTTATATGGGGATCTTGATGGCCTAATGATGCCTTCTTTCAGCAATTGCTTAATTTCGTTATTCACGAAGTGCGCTACTCCCATAGGGTAAGGGTATAATTTTGAATAAATTGGCTGGCTGTCTTCTGAGCGAATCGTAGCTACTATCGATGTGTAAAAAGGCAGTGCCTCATTGGGGCTCGAAAAACTTTGATTCTGTTAAGAATACGCTTCTGAACTCCTTACGCACGGTGTCTGGCACAACTATGTCATCGACATGGGTAAAATTGACATTGTCGCAGCTCTGATACTGTAACTTTTCTGCTACATCCCCATATACTATTAAATCTTGCTTCAAATCCAGCGTTGCCCCCATCTGTCTTAACAGATCAAGGCCTATTATCCCATCAAACGCTGTTAACGAATTTAATAAAAAGAATGCAGTTTTAACTCCAAAAATATGCATCTGACACTTTTGCCGGATGGCGTTAGAACCGTGTATTGAACTAACGGTAAATGGAGAGTCCACTTGAACTATACCTTTAAGGCCACTTATAGGCTTAATATAGTTTTTCGCCGCTCCAGTGTCAATCAGTATTCTTAATTTCCTCCCAGCCAGTTGCATCTCGACAAAAGGCAACCGGGAGCGTGCACTAAAAAATTAAGTGAGTCACGTTCACTATCCGACTCAAGGTCATCAACAATAGCTGCAGCTGCCGCTGATTATTTGGACCACATAAGTCCGTCTTTGAAATACAATGCTGCTGTTACATGAATTAAGTTTGTGAATTTATAAATAAAATCAAATAAGGGATAACCGCCAAAATTCTCACGTGTTATCAAGGTAG